TAACAGATGCTAATATTTAAATTGTATGTTAGTGATTCATTCTTCAGAATCTGAGTTAATGTAACAGGGCCTGCTGATTCCAAACACAAATATTAAAACAGGGAGGTAACCATGTAACCATCGTTCTTTGAGTGGTCCTCTGTGAATCCACACAAATGGGTTAGACTGCGCCTGCACAGGACGTCTTGGAATATTCTAGAGCTTAAAGAAACGTAATTAGTAGGAGGTTTCCTCGTAGTGTGCATGTTCCGCCTGCCTGCAATACCTCAGTTCTGAAATGCCCGCCACTGTCAGATTGCAGCCATAGCAAAGATCAAATGTAAGTGACGGAAATGTGAGTGCATGTTCCGCCTGCCTGCAATACCTCAGTTCTGAAATGCCCGCCACTGTCAGATTGCAACCATAGCAAATATCAAAAGTAAGTGACAGACAGTGGGAAGGATGGGCGGGATGTGTGGATTCACAGAGGACGACTTGAAGAACCATGGTTACAGGTAAGCAACCTCCCTTTCTTCTTCATGGCCTCTGTGAATGCACACAAACGGGTGACCAGCAAGCTCACTTACCGGAAGGAGGGCCGTCACGCCAACAATGACATCAGTACAGCCCTTCCGAAATTTGCTTTCTTCTTGGCCCTGAGGTCCAGACGGCAGTGTGTCACAAAGTTGATGGTGTGGACCAAGTGGCTGCTCGACAAATGCCAGAAACATCAACGCCACGCAATAAAGCAGTCAAAATAGCCATAGGTCTTGCGGAATGTGCCTTTAATGCATCTGGCGGAGCTTTGCCAGCCAGTTCATAGGCCAAGGTGATAGTAGACACAATCCACCTAGAAATCGTCTGTGAGGAGGCAGGAGAGCCTTTACGTGGACTATGGAAGCAGACAAATAGTCTAGGGGAAGTGCGGAAGTCTTTAATCCTAGAAGTGTAAAATGCTAAGGCACGACGAACATCCAAGGAATAGAGGATGTGCTCAATGTCCACGACGAACATCCAAGGAATGGAGCATGTGTTCAATGTCAGAAGAAAGATCAGGGAATAACGTCAGAAGAATCAAAGGTTGATTAACATGAAAACTTGATACAACTTTGGGAAGAAAGGAGACATCAGGATATAAGACGACCTTGTCTGGGTGGAACTGTATAAGGGGCATCAGCCCGAAAGACAGCTAATTCACTCACTCATCATGCAGAAGTTATTGCTACAAGAAGTAGCATCTTCAAAGAGAGGAGTCGAAGGTCTGAAGAAGTCATTGGCTCAAATGGAGGGCAAGTAAGTGCTCATAATATGGAGGCAACGGAAGCTGGACAGGTGGGCGAATATTACATAAGCCCCTTAAAAACATCTTTAAGGTTGGGTGTGAGAACAAGCGGGAGGCTTCTGAACCCATAGGTTGGTAAGAGACAATAACGGAGATATAAACCTTTAGTATAGCATGGGCCAGTCCTTGGTCAAATAGATAGAGCAGAAAGTAGAGAAGAGTATCCAACGAAACTGGAACAGGTAACAGACCTCTAAAGGCAGCGAACTTAGAAAAAATGTTCCATTTGTAAGAATACAACAGCTTGGTGGAGGGGTTTTCTGGCTTTTTCCAAAACCTCTGCTATACCGGGGGAATCCTCCAAGCTGTGAGGTGGAGCGACTCCAGGTCAGGATGGCAGACCCTGCAGCATCCTGCGTCAGAAGAAATAGTTGGGGAGACAGTCTCAGGAACTCGGACGCCATGGTCTGTGAGGTGGAGCGACTCCAGGTCAGGATGACTGACCCTGCAGGCATCCTGGGTCAGGAGAAATAGTTGGGGAGACAGCCTCAGGAACTCAGACACCATGGTGTTGAGGGTGGTAAACCAAGGTTGCCGAGGCCACCATGGGGCCACTAGAATGACATTGGTGCATAGCTGGTGTATCCTGGCTAATGTCCGCTGAATTAGTGGGATGGGAGGGAGACCATCTTCCCAATTCATGATGAAGGCATCTGGGAGACAGGCTCAGTATCGATACCGAAACCTGAGCCTGTGGAGGTGGTACAGAATCTCCCACCTTAGGAGAATCCTGGTCTGGTAACTCCCTTGATGACTCCTCCAGGATCGGGGACAGGAGGGAAACCCAAATTGCTGGAGGGTCTCAAGTCTGAGCTGGTCTAGAAGGATGCTTGGACTTCTTTTGCTTAACCATCTCCTTCTTAGGGTCCTTTTTCAATGGCGATTTCAACACCAAGGTCGAGGTTGATAGTGAAGGAGTCCTGGACTTCGACCCTTTAGAAGAGGACCTCAGAGAAGGAGTAGCAGGAGTCGGTGGAACAGCAGGCTCGGGACAAGGAGCAGGAGGCGCAGAAGCTGCGGTAGGCTGCATAATAGCTGAGCTTGAGGGGGAGAGTGATTTTTCCCACAAACATGAACGAAGTTCCTGGAAGCAGAGCTTAAGCGCTGGCTTGGTCAATTTTTTACACGCTTGAGGGGGAGAGTGATTTTTCCCACAAGCACAAACGAAGTTCCTGGAAACAGAGCTTGCGCTGGCTTGGTCAATTTTTTACACTCTGGGCAGGAGTGTGTCTGATGTCTTTCCCCTAAGCAAAATAAGCAGTGATTGTGGCCGTTGGTAAAGGGAATCTTGTTGGCACATGATGTACAACGTTTAAAGGGGCCTGACGAGGCCATAAAATGGGCGGGAAAGGGAAGGGGGAAATAACTCATGGGAAAATGTCAATGATTAGCAGTCCAAATCAAATACTGTAGATCAAATCAAACCGTAGAAATAAGAGACAAAGTCTGTGATCCAGAAATCATAAATACAGTAGGTAGACAGTCCAAAGTCCACAAAGTCTGTGATCCAGAAATCATAAATAGACAGTCCAAAGTCAAAAAGTCCAAAATACAAAGAGAGGTTCACTCTAGATGTCGCAAAGGAGTCCGATTGCAGTGGTGGTCCAAAAATACAAAGAGAGGTTTGCTCTAGATATCGCAAAGGAGTCCAATCGCAGCGGTGGCAAGAAGGAACTGAGATATTATGGGCAGGCAGAGCATGCGCACTACAGAGAAACATCCTATTAATCACATTTCTTTAAGCTCTAGAATATTCCGAGAAGTCCTGCGCAGGTGCAGTCTAATCCATTTGTGTGCATTCACAGATGCCACAAAGAAGAACTAATTATTCCTATTGCAAATGTAGCCTGGAATAGATTCAATGCATTTTTTTCCTGCTGGGAATCTGTGCTGTGTGCTTTGAAGATCACCCATCAGGAGTTGGAAGTTGGGCCCTTTTTTAAAGGTTTGAAACAAAAATGATCCATTTCCTCCACATATGGGAAACAGGTTCACAGATTCTTTCAAGCCTATTTTATCTTGAGACAGGCCACCAAACAATGGGACATTTTAAAGGGAGTCCAGACAAAAAGGACCAAAGCATGCATGCTCCTTTCAAGGAGATCATCTTAGATGAATATGTTGTAGCCAATATGTAACCAATGGGGCTGGGTACCTATGGTAGAGTATGCTTAGCCTGATGGTTTATCTTGCCAGGCATACTGCCACTGTAGTACTAAGCAGTGAGGTAGGGTTGGATGTGAGTAACTGATAGCTCTCCTTTCCAAAATAGTAACCAGAAAAATGTTAAGAGCAAGGGTTTTGCTTCCCCTATCTTCAAAATGTTTCCTTTCTTAACAACCTGCTTGATGGGACCAATTCATATAGCTGCTGCCTAACTTAATGACCTCTGAAGGTTGCATCCCATTGGGCTTGCGACCCAGCTGGGATCATACTTCATATGAGAGGTATATGCATATCTGTGACTGGCAGGTTTAGCAAATCTTTTTGAGTGTCTGCAATTGGGCAAATTGTGACAGCTCCTACACAGAGAGTCAAGTAGATACAATCAGTGACTTGTGCGATTCTAATTTGTTTGAAAGTCTACTGGCCACCCTGCTCTTATCAGCCAGGACATGGTAGCTGGCAGCTATTATCAACCGGGCCCATGGAGAACTGTTGAAGGCTTCTTTAAAAAGATGTGGCTGGTTTTGCCAATGCTGTTTATTTAATTGCTCTTGGGTTGGCCAGTCAAACTCTCTGGGTATCCACTGGAGGTAAAGAGGAAAAGTTAATTGAAAGAAAAATAAAATGAGGTAGGTTAAAACAGCAACACAGATCCAATTATGTTACATCCATAGACTAACGGGGGAATTCCATGCTTGAAGACAGAAGAAATGTTGCACATAACTTACTCAGAATTGGAAATAATTTGAATAAAGCATATAAGGACACAGGTAAACTCAAATTAAATACATATATACTTCTGCACACATTTTGGTGTTTTCTCTATAGATAGGCAGCAAAAAAAAGATCAGGGGGCGGAAGGGTAAGTCTAAGCATCAATGTCTTGGTCAATGAGATTTTCCTTCCCATCTGCTGTCTCTCACTCCTGCCAGGTGCCTTTCCTTATCAATGTTGTTGATGCTGGCTCTTGGTGATTTTAATGGAGGAAAAAAGTCCACACCAGTATCTACAAAGATCATGCCCTCCCCCCCAAAAAAAGAACATACAGCTGTACAGAGTAGGTGGGACCCAGATTTGAAGCATCTGAGTTGATGCTTCACTTGTCAAATCATGAGGTGAGTTTTTAAGCCAATCTTCAGAAGCTTGCTATATCTCACTTCTTAGCCTTCAGTTTTGTTGTGATACCTTTTGTGCCACAACTTAGAGAAAGGCAAGATAATACTAAGGCCAACACTGGGAATGATTGGGTAGGATGGCACTGCTGTTTGTCTCAATGAGCACCATTGTATGTGTAGATCCATACAGAAGTATGAACTGACAAGTTGACCATTAAAAAATGTACCACAATTGTATTAGAGGCTAAGGCTAATAGTTTAGCCATTAAGAATCAATTTCCCAAAAGAATGGGGGGAAATCTTACTGATCCTCTCATTGGAAATTTGTCAACCTGTTTGCAAAAGTAACACAACGTTGGTAAAGGCAAAGGTTTTTAAAAAGTTAGCCAGCTCTATGGTTAGGATCTCCACCACAAAGAGAAAATGGTACATTTATTGTGCTGTCTCTCACCAGTTTTAATTGGTAACCTTACAACAGTTTCCCCCAACCCACCGCCCTCTAGATGTACAGCCAATGCACATGAAGGGCAGTAGGTTAAAGAAAACTGCCTTACAATATACTATATAATTGATGCTAGCAGGCAGACAAGATTAAAAACAGAGATTCTGTTTGACACTTAGATCTGTCCCCATTCATACAAAGAGAGGGACAAGGAAAAGGTAAAATGAAAAACAAAACTCATAACTGACTCTATCACAGCTTCATCTGAATCTGCTAAACATCTTGTGCATTTGTCCATTTCTGCCCATAAACACTGTTGCATTTGTGGGATTCTTGAGTAAACCTTCATTCCAAAACCACAGTAGGAAATGTGTCTTGAGTTCTTGCAGCGTGTCTGAGTGAGTGTGATTGCATTCACAGAAGGAAGCAATGTGTTCAACAATGACTTCTTCTCCTGCCTCTACAGTGTCCGTCTGCATATTCCAATGTCCTTTCAAATTAAAAAATCTTGGCATCGAAGCAAGCACCAGGTGCCCTCTTGTTACCAGTTCATCATGGAATTTCTGTTGAGGGTCATGAAAAAAACTTGACTACTTCCTCCAGATCTCACTGATGCAAAAAATACCTGTTTGGGAAGCAAATATTCCAATTTATTAAATGGTAAGTTCAGCAATATGTTTTTAATAAATGTATTTGTTTAGTTTCCTCATAAACTGATGCATTCCGGAACTTAAGTAACCAGAGCTTCCACAGCTAGCCAATATGAATTCTGAACTTTTATTTTTCTCCCCTCCACATGTCCCAAGGTCTTCAAGGAAATTCTGTATCAAATGGCCCCAAATTAAACACTGCTTAGCAAAATTAGTAGACAGAGTACAGGCATCAAGTATATCATCTATGCTGAAACTAAGCCCATCGGGAAGGCCATAAACAATGCCAGTCACACAGGCACCGGGAAATTGTCTCCATCTCATATGAAGACATAAGAATAACAATCTATGAGGCATCTCCAGGGCCAGCAGGTTATCGGATAAGAAGCTATGACCAGGAGATGAATAGGACATTTGGATTATACTTTTATGGATTTGCTGTACATGTCAAAAAAGGCATGTTAATTGCTTTTTGCGAAGGCTTTCACGGCAGGGATCTAATGGTTGTCTGAAAAACCCACAACAACCATGTTAACTGCATTTGACATATTATCAGGCAACTTAAGATCTGTCTGAAAATGAGAGGTAGCCTTGTACCAAATTGCTGACCATGCCCATCCTTATGAGAAGGGCATATACAGAGGCATTTTGGTGTCTACTCCACAACTGAGGGGTTCCTTTGATGCCTGCCAAGAGAAGATATCATGATCACGTTCTGAAAGTATTTTGACATCTTTTTATTTGAGATGAGTTTTAATGACTAAGATTAAGCTATTGGGGGAATTTTACTTGTAACAGATTTTGTCGTTATCAGTAGAACCTAAAATCATCTATAGGCTGAACTGAGCCCTTTGTGCTTTGCTCTTATTGCACTGTACATGCACTTTGCACAGATGGTATCAAAATGTCCACCCATCTCTGCTGAAAGAGGCATTTCTGGAGACTCTAGGGTAGGATATGAGGAATTCTGGTTATTTTGGGTTGGTGGTGGCCTGCCATGTTAAAGAAAGTAGTGGCAAGCTTCACAGACTTTCTTTTGCTTGAAAAAATGTTCTTGCTGTTTCAAGCAATGGTAATGTAAAGCATTACAGTCGTGCCTCGCTTTATGATTGCCCCGTATAACGACGAATCCACTTAAAGATGCCTTTTTTGTGATCGCAAAACGATGCTTCCTATGGGCAAAATCAGCTGTGCGATGATCGGTTCTCTGCTTCGGGAACCGATTTTTCGCATTACAACGATCAGCGAACAGCTGATCGTTGGGTTCCAAAATGGCCACTGGCTAAAGAAAATGTCCCCCCTGCTGTTTTCTAGGACGGATTCCTAGCTAGATAGGCACCGAAAATGGCCGCCGTATGGAGGATCTTCACTGGACAGTGAGTTTTTAGCCCATTGGAACACATTAACCGGGTTTTAATGTGTTTCAATGGGTTTTTTTTATTTTTGCTTTATGATGTTTTCGCTCTACAGCGATTTCGCTGAAACAAATTAACATCATTAAGCGAGGCACCACTGTATTTTGATAGCATCCTGAGACACTGTTGGTAAAAGGGGAAAAATGGGAGAGTGGAATGTCCCACTGTCGAACTTTTCTCAGAAGCAAGAGATAGCAAAAAAAGTTTATTTTTGCCCTCTTGTAAGTGTTAAAAATTAGTGGATCCAATAATTCAAACCTAGAAATATTCTGTCAGAGACCATAAAACTTAAATAAATAATGGAAATAAATTATGTGGAAAACTCTGTTTTTCTTATATAAATTAGTAAGGGCTGATCCATTGCTGCTGTCTTAGGCAATATTCAGTTTAGACTGGGAAAACTTCAGTTCAGTTGCTGTTGAGCCATGAAGCTTACTTACTGAGCAGCTTATAGTCAAATCATATTCTTTCCCTGATTTATCTTCAAATGAATAGTTGCACATCAACCTGAGTTCTATGGAAATGGGGTAGGATACAAATGTCATAAACAAATTAATTTAAAGGTGATTGGACCTATGTAAGTTTCAATTATGGAGTGCAATACATAAAGCAATTAGACTCAGCATGAAGATAAAGCAGATGACACTTGTCATGGACCTATTATGAACCCATACAAGTCTGAAAAGAGACATACCTTATCATTTCTTTCACATAGAAATTTTAACCGCTGAGCACGCTTGTGCATAAATACTCCATCCAAATGGCCAGTCTCGACTGATCTTATCTCTATAGCTTTTTCGCCCCAGCCCATTATCTGATTGGAATGGATGTAGGCTGCAAAATAAATAAGAATAAAAATTTCCCTTACTTTCTTCCTAAAGACACTTGGACCAAAGCAAGTTTTGTCAAATGTCACACCTAGCAGGAAGCTACAGCATACAATGTAAATGCCTTAAGTGTGGAAATCCAAGCCTCTGATGGGCATCCAGGGTCCATTATCTGCTCCACAGAGGACTAATGTAACTAGTAAAATGGCCAATTCTAGCTCAGAGTTCTCATCTCATTCTGAAGGTATAAACAACTAAGGAGAAGAGGTAGAACTGACATACCCACTGAAGTGGGCATTTCTCCCCACTGGAGCACCACGTCTTTTGTTATGCGTCCATAGGTATTTACGTACACCCCTTCATCCTCATAGCACACAAGCATCTCCATTCCATCCGTTTTGGGCAAGATGACAATGGCGTGAGGCGTGATATTGCCCTGAATCTGTACACAGAACAGAACCCCCCCCAAGCCAGCATTAAATCAAATTCACAGGGCAAGAAAGGACGAAATTTTGCTCTTGGAAAATTATTATACCAATGCTCGCCATCAAACATATCCCCCGTAAATTTCCAAAGTATACTTCCACGATTAAACATGACACAAGATCTATGTCCTATGGCACGTTAGGTGCTCGGCAAAGCCGTACCGTGTCCTGTTTACGAAACAGGAGCTTAATGATTATCTAACACATCGCAAAAACATGGCTCACAAACTACAAGCAGCTCTCAGGATCTAAACTGAGAAGGCCAAATTAAGCTCTCTTCATCCCACTGATGAAGTACATTTGTGTATATAAAAATCCTTTGATATGAGTAAGTTCTATTGCTTAAATTCTTTCTTTGGTTGTATTGATCTTCATAAGATTTATTCTGCCAATCTGTAAAAACTCACAGTTTACATGTGAAATGACAGAGTAAAAAACATAGGGTCCATTTAAAAAACACACAGCAATATTGGTCAGAATTCTGTTAGTTACGCCAGCACAGGTGCAATAGAGGAAATTATGGCAGTTGTTGCCTTTTGTATCTCTCCTTGTGTACTAATTCACATAACTTGACACATGATAAAGAATACAATCAGTGACTTGTTAAGCAGCAGTAATTCACTGGTGCAATTTACATCATTGCACTTATGCCGGCACAATTAACCAACAGGATTCTGGCCACTGTAAGGTTCTTAGAAAAACTACCAGTGTGTTGTGTTACAGCCCCGTGCTTTGAAATTTTATCTTTTTCTAACATTTAAAAATTGTGGCCATGGAATTAAAAGACCTCCAATGTATGTTCCAATTTGAAGATCTGGATGCACTGCAAAACTAAAATTGTTTTAACTTTCAGAAGTTATAAACTGAAGTATGCAACAGGCTTCCAAAAACAGAATATGCCAAAGCTGCAGTGCAAGTACAGTGGCGCCTTGCATCACGATGTTAATTTGTTCCAGCGAAATCACTGTAGAATGAAAACATCGTGATGCAATTTTAAAAAGCCCATAGAAACGCATTAAAACCAGATTAATGCGTTCCTAGGGGCTTCAAATTCCCCGTCCAGCGAAGATCCTCCATAGCGCAGCCATTTTTGCTGCCTGTACAGCGAGGAATCCGTGCGAAAACACAGCGGGCGGCCATTTTGTTTACCTGGTGGCCATTTTGAAACCACCCATCAGCTGTTAAAAAATCATCGCTTTGCAATGATCGGCTCCCGAAGCAGGGAACCGATCATCACAAAGCGAAATTCCCCCATAGGGAACATCGTTTTGCGATTGGTTTTGCGATCGCAAAAAGTTCATCATGATGCGATTTCATCATCAAACGGAGTGCCCGTCTTGTGGGGCACCATTGTACTGAAAAGGCCCTAAGAGATCCAAAGCAAATTAGCTTCTTTTGATGACACTATGTACAACACCATCTCTCCAAAAGGCATGGAGTGAATAGTAACCACAGCTCATTGTTATACAACTGTTCTTACTTCCCATTTGGTATTTGAAAGAGATACCTACTGGATCATATCATTTATACAGTATGATTACCGCATTGTTTCAAACTCACATGTGATGGTATGTAGATGTCATAAGAATTCCCCGAATCCACATCAATAACATGGAAACCAGTGTGGGATCCAAAGATAACCTTTAACCTCTGACCTTCCTCCACTGTGAGGTCAACAAGCAAGGGTTTGTGCTGGAGATCTGCAAAAGACTTTTAAAATCCTTTCAGTCAATTTTCTGGTACATTATCAATGAAAACCCATAAATCTTTAGTAAGTAAGTATACAAGGATGCAATTTTTTAAAAAGAAAGTTGCCTCTCCCGCCCAACTTTTGGTTAAAATCTCTACTATTATACATTTAGACAGTGTTTTAGCTCTTTATCTATTGACATTGCTAAAGAATAAGCAAAGATCCAGTTGGGCTTTTTTCATATTTAAGTAGAAGACATTTTGAAAGTGGGGTTATTCCACACATGGAGTAGATGAGACTTTGCAAGTAAATTGCATTCTGCAAAAGTCACGAAAGCTTTGTCCAAGCGTGCTAGGACAAAAGAAGAGAGTGGTTATCTTTGCCCCTTCCCATGGCTGGAAGTTCTGCCTAGCCATTGCTAGTCCAGCCAGTAACTTAGTTCAAATTTTACTTGGTTTGTTTTTAATTAACTGTGGGTTTTAACATATCTGTGAAGATTCTCAGTGGGTTTTAATATTTTATATCCTGTCTTTATCTATTGACATTGCTATTAGGAAAGAAAGGTGGGATAAAACATTAAATAAATTAATTAATTAATAAGCTGCATTTGAGACAATGGAAAAGGACGATTTTATAGACTGCAGTGAGGACTGAGAGAGGGTTAAGACAAGATTTTTTTTTTGCATTAAATCCAAACTACAGAAGGATTCAAGCTTTATAAAATTCACTTCTTTACAATAATAATTACAGAAACTCACATCCAAACCCAGGATTATTCAGTTTTCTCATCTTCTCTAGAACATTTTAATGTATTCATTCAATTTTAACTTTTGTTTTAAGTGTAACAAAAGATGAAAAAAGTGTTAGGAAAAAGCCAGGTCTTTTTAAATATAGCTGAAAAATCTGGATGGATAAAACTGATAAAAGTTTACTTAGACTTGGCCCAGGTGATACTCTCTATGAAGCTTCACTTGGACCAACATTGCTCACTTACCAGCCTCTGGGTCCAATCAATAACTCAAGAGTTGGATGTGACTGTTGTTTAGATTTTACATTTATTCTTAAAGCCTATAGCTTTGAACTATTTTAATCTAGAAAATAACTGCACAGTTGAAGCGCACGGTCATTAAGCAATGTAAACCCAATACAAATGCTAACCCAATTAACTGGGTGGACCCAGTTGGTGGCAACATATGTAGATGGTTGGATAAGCAAATGTGACAACTACTCCATTACAAATGGCTCCTCAGTAGATGTAGAGAGCCTTTAGCCCTGAAGATTTGAATTTCAACTCTCAGAAGGCCCAGCCAGTGCATCCCATAGTAGGGAAATGCTGGAGCTGTAGTCTAAAATATATGGAGGGCCAAAAATCACCATTATTCTGCAAAGAGGAGTCCATCTGACCTAGGCCTTAATTATCTGCATTCTTCAAGAGCATGCTTGTTTCTCTAAAATAGGAAAACTTACTGTCAAGGTTTGACATTTTGTATGTATAAAGTGCTAAAATAATTAATGGGACAATAAAAATGCAATCCTGCAAATACACATTGTGCTTTAAAAAGGAGGTTTGAACAGCACTTTGCTAAAAGTCACTGCAAGACAATCAGCCAGCTCTCCATCCAAGCTATCAGAGGGAAAGCAAGATCAATATAAAATAACATTGCCTTGCAAACAAATTATTTCATAGTGAGCTGGCACTTGAACATGGATGTAAACAACTGATAAGGAAAATGAAAATATAACATCAGAAAAGCAAAACCATGGGGAAAAAGTCCTGGTGTGCTGAAACAGAGTTACAAGAAATTGGTACCTGACTAAATTTGTTCACTTAACACTCCTGGCATTTTGCCTACCTATTAAAACAGTACCCAAGTAAAAAAACCGATGGGCCCAATTTGTTGTCCCTATAGGTGCAAGGACCCATTTCATCAAAATAACAGCAATGATATGCCATGCTGCCAATTTGCCAGACTAATAATTAATGAGAGTTGTATTTTGCTATACAAGGAAAAGCAATAGAGATTTCAACTGGAAATGGTCTGTTTATAGAGCACAGGAAGTTACTATGCTAGCAAAATTCAGCTGTTCACAGTTGGAGGGAAATGTAAACAAATGAGATAAATATAAATATAGGGAGGCAAGAGACCCATACATGCCATGCCAAACACACACACCAAATGCCAGTAATGAACACACTAGGTAAGAGACATCAAAGAGTAGCAAGCATGTAGCCTGCTACTCTTTGTATTAATAGTAGGATTTTTAAGCACAGAGGCAATGTAGATGAATAACGCTTGTAGAAACAGACATGCTAATGTTGCATAACATTCAAACAAGGAACATACTTTTACTTTGATACACAGATGAATACTGATATGATTGGAAATGGCTATCTGGTTCATACTAGAATTAACTCTTTTAGGGATGTCAGCTATGCAAACACAGGCTTCTGATTTTCCCTAGAGCTCTATAAAAGTCTGCAGGACTCTTAGGTAGCTGTTTAGGCACCAGATGTCCTGACACCAGACTCTTAGGTAGCTGTTTAGGCACCAGACGTCCTGACACCATCTCTAATAATTCCTTGGAAAGTTCTCTGCACAGAAATATGGGTTCAGCTCCCTGTTATGCTATAGTTGAATACACCACAAAATTGAATCACAGATTTCCTTATCAATAATTTAAAAATGAAAATTAAAAAAAATGCATAAGTAATTCTTATATTTTTGTAATAACACAAAACATACCTTAAATGCCATAAACTTGTGATATGGTTTAGGAGCCCAAGCATATATCTCTACAGCATTCTTTAAGGCAATCACCAAGAACTTGATTCTCTCATATTTCACTAAAATTGAAATAAAACTAATCTTTAAAACATCCAATTTACTCAGACAAAACTAAATGATATCTTAAGATAGAGATGATGAAACTGTCTTGCCTGAGGAAAATGTTTTTGAGAATGAATCCAGTTGCTGAATTTCCCTTGTGATTTAGACTCAACTTGAGGGTCTTGCTGTGATCTAGACATATGAACTGCCACCTTATGTTTACTTGTGCAACCACCATGGTCACCACACCATCAAAGCAAATTAAAGATGGCAGCACCTGTATTTCCAAACTAGACTTACCCACACCATACAAGTGAAAAGTATAAGTGTGTCTGGGAAGAAACTGCCATTACATGATTTAAACTCTGAAGATAAATGTGGTTATATGACCCTTCCTTAATATTTCCCTAATATTCCTAATAAAAAAATTAGGATTTTACTTTTAAGTTAGGACTTCGAAGTTTCAAAATTTTCTCTATCTTCTCTGTTTAATGAGTGGAAAATATAGCAGCATCTGTGAAATATTAGGTAAATTATGTACAAACAACATGGGATAATGTTTGATTTGTTTTCCTACCAGATGTTAGGCTACTGGACTGAAGGATAAATGAAACATGATTTTCCTTCTTAGGCAACAAAGTTTTTGAGTGTGTGTGTGTGTATGGAATGCTCTGTTTACACTGCTATTTCACTGGTCTCCAAATACAGACCCTTTTTTTCAATGATGACCAATTTACTAAGGAACATCATCACAATAACTTAATTACATTTGGTGAATATCGAAACATTTTGGAAATGCAAATGTTTGGGATCACAGTAATAAGCACGATACAATAAGTCCTTACTGTTTTTTCCTACTAGGAAAAAAACATCTAAAGCAGTTAAGTACAGGAGATTTTATTCTATTAATTTGAGCAAATAGGGCACTATTAACTATTGTTTGCCATTATTTGTTAAAACGTGGAAGCTCGCGTTCGTGTACCAAAGGTATATAGGATTTTTAACTTATCTAAACCAGTGGTTCCCAAACTTGGGTCCCCAGCTGTTTTTGGAGTACAACTCAAAGACATCCTGGACAATACAGCTACAGTGGTGCCTCGCATAGCGATCGCTCCGTATAGCGACGAAATCGCTTTGCGATGGACTTTTTGCCATCGCAAAAGCGATCGCTTTGCGATGGTCCCTATGGAGGAAATTTGCTTTGCGATGATCGCAGGGAAGTGATCATCGCAAAGCCCCAATTTTCAGCCAGCTGATTGGCGGTTTCAAAACGGCCGCCGGGTAAACAAAATGGTGGCCCGCTGTTTTCAGGCACAGATCCCTCGCTTTAGAGGCACCGAAAATGGCGGCGCTATGGAGGATCTTAGCTTGAAGGTGAGTTTTTAGCCCACAGGAATGCATTAATCCCGTTTTAATGCGTTTCTATGGGCTTTTTATTTTTGCTTAGCGATGTTATTGTTTAGCAGCTTTTTTTTCTGCACGGATTAACATCGCTAAGCGAGGCACCACTGTATTGGTGAAGGTTTCTGGGAATTTCAGTCCAATGACATCTGGGGATCTCAGAGGTTGGCTGCATGGGCGTTTATTGCACTTTGCAGCCCCCTGCTGGAACAGTTGGTATTGCTCTAAAAAACTACATGATATTTTTGTTACAGTCTTCCTAATCATTCCTAATCAGGACCAATCCGTCAGTTTGGTCCTAAGTTGCAGTCTACTGTTTATCTGAAACGATTAGGATCGGTCCAAATAAATATGGTTTACTTGATGTGCCTAGACTGCTCCAAGGTCAAGTTGGCAATATGAAGTGGTTAATAAATGAGAACTTCTGAATACTGGCAAATAAATCACTTTGGGGATAGTCTGTTTAAAACTATTGCTGATGCAATATGTCAGATATAATTAAAAAACCCTCTTCTTTGCATCTCAATAAGCAAGGCAAAGAATATATATATAATAAATCAGATCTAATCAAGCCTGACCTTTCCAAAGAAGTCCACACTAGCTTGCTCTAATATAGCTGCACCTTTCATCTCCGGAAAATGTTTTCTGTGGATTTTGCTCACATATTTCTCATCACAAAATGACTGGCAATAAATATATGAACAAATTCCATTACACAGCATTGCCTGTCAGAAGCCATGAAATAAATCAGAAGTTGTAACTGTGGAAGTTGATCTTGTTGGTTCATCACATGTGCAAAGCGTCACCTTGTCTCACAATTGTCTATCTGAGGATCAGTGTTAGCAAGAAATAGCAAATTGTGAGAGATAATACAGTCCAAAAGAATGTGGAGCAATTGGCTTGCTCATCTCTGCCTTAGGATGTCATTGATATCTTCAATATATATCATAGCAAAAACACTTATTCATCACTTCTTGTTTAAGCTTAGAAGGTAATTATTAATTATTAGTTTATTTTATTTACTGAAACAATTGCTTCCTAGCCCAGACAATGAACAACTACAAAAAGATAAGAACATTCTTTACGAACAGGGGGAAAATGTTTAAAAACCAATGTTAACAGTAGCAGCCTTTCAAATTAGATAATAAACTGTAAAAGCAAACTTTAAAACTACTTTTTTACACCAAAGTCCATATGAAACTATACAGTCTTGCATGCCAGAAGGGATACAGCAAGCCTGGCTTCTCTTGGGAAGCAGTTCACCAACTGAGCTGCTTCTGCAGAAAAAGCCCTGTATTAATCCATGTAGATTTTTGGGATAGTGAGACACACAAGGGGGGGGCCCTCTGTTCAGTAGTATCTCAAACATCTATCATTCTTCAACTTCATCAGCATTCTTTAAAAAATGTTAGCACTTGATTTGGGCCAAATACTTTACTTCACTTTAATTAGATTTACACCCCGCCCCTCTAGACAGGTAAAAAATAAATTAATAAATCAAGGTGAACTATGCATAAAGGAGCTTGTTTCTGAATAGGACAGGATTTAGCCCAGAAGGGCACCCAAAACATATTAAAAGAAATAAAATGCAGTGAATGGATCCACATTTAGGAACAAATGCATTAAAATCTGTGGGATGTAAGTAAACGTTAATTACTTAAGTCCCACTGATTTCAGCTCAAATAAATCTGGAACCAATCCATTATGATATCCATCTGACTGGCAGAAAACTAAAAAGTCATAATTTGTGTTTTAAGAGTAGTGGGGAAATTGGGTCATGCTGGCTCATTCTAATCCTGACCACACCTCACATCTGTAAATTAGGTATCACAATGGAACACAGACCTTGCCCCTGGCTGACAACTCTAATGTGTGTACAACCATCCGTACAACGATTACCCCCCAAAATCAGGTGGGAGATGGTTAGATCATGTATACAGTAACATCAGATGAACCTGGGTTACTATATCCTTTGTGATGATTTTAGTGCTACAGAGAAATCGCGAAAGAAAATAAGAATTTTCTGTAGTGTTCCCTGTTTTTTAGTATGCCACCACGAGCAACTCTATTAGGCCTCAACCTGTTATTGAAATAAGTGAGGGACTTCACATATTTCAGAGTGCCTTTCAGTGGTAGGTATGTTGATTTTGTGAAGACCACCACCTCCTCTGGTGATATTCTATCTGTTTACCAGGTTTTTTACTTACCAACTTTATAATGTATGCAGCCTTCCAGATCTCCCACAGTGATCCAGCCTTGTTTCTTTTCTACCTCTGGGTCATTGTGTAATATTCTGTTCCTTAACCATGAAAGATAGTAAACTCGTAGTTTGTTCTTCTTTCCTGTTGAAACATTGAGCTTCATTTTTAATCAACAAAAATGCAATCTTGATCCTCTGCGTAAATCAATCTAGCTTCATGGGGTTTCTGTACTGCTGGTCCTTTTCATATCTTGTCTATCAGCTTGACTATTGTGTTTTTCTGTTTAAGTAAGTTTATTTCTGGAACACTGACTGGGATTTTAACATTGCACCTGCGGAGAAGCCACGTGAGTGAAGGTTTCTTCTGTGTTTGTTCCCGTAACCTTCTTATACAGTATGCTAAAATGTTTTAAGGTTTCTGGTTTCATTGTTGTTATTGGCTGTATGGAGGCAGAAGCCCTTCAGAAGAAATGGTAGGATATAAAAACTCTAATCCAACAAATGTATATTGGCATCGTTGTGTGAATTCATCGTTGTGTGAGGCACTCGTTGTGCGAGGCACCACTGTACTTATGACACTGAACCTCAAAATCCCAGCCAACTACTCCCAGCAGTTTTATTTAAATATTAAACAGTATAGGGATAAAACAGAACTCTGAGGTACATCACAGTCTAAAGGCCAGGGCAAGAAACAGGAGTCCCTTATTACTACCTTCTGAGTTCCCTTCAGGAACAACCGGAAACCACTCCACAAGAGTGAAGCTTCTCAGTGATTCACTGAAACTTTCAGACCATATATTCAGTTGAGGCAACCACTCATCGTATTTTTCTGTGTATAAGACACCCCCATGTATAAAACACCCCCCACTTTTCCAAATCAAAATTTCTTTGTTTGCAGGAAAGTGGAGGGGAGCAAGCTCCTGCTTTCCCCGTACATTTTCATTGCAAAAAGCAGTTCCCCCCTCCAGGTTTTGCAAAGAAAATGCAGGGCGGGAGCAATTTCCGCTTTCCCCCTACATTTTCATTGCAAATCGCTTTGCCCTGCATTTTCTTTGCAAAACCTTGAGGCAGAAAGCTGCTTTTTGCAATGAAAATGTAGGGGGAAAGCGGAAATTGCTCCCGCCCTGCATTTTCTTTGCAAAACCTGGAGGGGGGAACTGCTTTTTGCAATGAAAATGTACGGGGAAAGCAGGAGCTTGCTCCCCTCCACTTTCCTGCAAACAAAGAAATTTTGATTTGGAAAAGTGGGGGGTGTTTTATACATGGGGGTGTCTTATACACAGAAAAATACGATGAGTGGTTGCCTCAACTGAATATATGGTCTGAAAGTTTCAGTGAATCAACATTCCAATGAAGGAAACATTGTTTCACACAGCGATGTTTCCTATGGGGATTTTCACTCAGCGATGGCAATCCGTTCCAATTGGAACGGATTAACCGGTTTTCAATGCATTCCTATGAGAAATGGTGTTTCACAGAACGATGTTTCACACAACGTTGATTTTTTTGGAACCAATTAACATCGCTGTGTGAGGCACCACTGTATACTGATTACACCCAACACTATTTTTCCTTTTTATCTAATTCCAAAGAAGCTGTATTATTTTGGTTCCACCACCATGCCAGGTTTGTTTAGTGAGAACCTGAGAGAAGCTATTTTCAGTAGCCGCTCCTAGCCTGTGGAATTCCCTGCCTCATGAGGCTAAGTTGATCTCCTCCTCATAGTCCTTTTGCCACTGGTTGAAAACCTTCCTTTTTAAGTAGGCATTTTAACCTCTAAATGCCCTTGCAGGATTTTACTTTATAGTCAAGAGATGCAACACATTTTTATCAGCATATTTTTGTCAGCTATTATTAACCTTTTAAAATTAATGTTTCTTTTGGTTTAGTCGTAGCTTATTGTTAAGGTCTTTAATCCAATCCTGAACATGCTACCTTTGCCTGCAGCTGGCATTAACAAAAAACAAACAAACCCCTAAACAAAAATAAAAGTAAACAAAAGCAAAAATAAAGCTCAGTTGGAATAAATCTTCCAGGACTTAAAGTGGATGCTGGGAGTCAGGTACCTAGTCTGAGAGGGCGGAGCAGCTCCCCTTTTGCAGAGGATCAGCTTAATCTGACTCTGTCACTGGGCCAAAGGGAGGGGCTAGTCCAAAGCTTATGGCATGTCTTCAGGAAAATACATGCCAATAATGTTTTGAATTTTTTAAACAGTTGGGACAGATTTGGAAAAACACATTTTCAGTTGCTTTCCGCAATCCTCAATATGTTGTCATCACAAAAAGCTGAGCATTTGCAAAATCTCAGAGATCAACTGAATATAGAAGAGTTAGATGAACTATCGTTTCTCTGCTGTTTGAGACTCTCTGCACACAGCCAAATAACACGTCAAGAGTGAATGTCACTTCCAGTTTTACATAAGTTTTACTTGCACTACTTGGTGTGACTTTATTAAAAACCACTTTATGCTGACTTTCATATGTGTCACTTCTCATGCCCTCTTTTTGTTGCACACGATTGTACTATCTTCTGCAAGTTCAGCTACGTCTGCCTTTCAGTGTATATCTTGTCTCTGCCATGCCTATGCAGTGTCTCTTTATTCAATATCGACCATCCATTGCTCAGTACCTAGAACAAAGCCTGTTGCTTGGCTGCCAGTGGGTGCAAACAGCCTCTCTTTAGATCGCAACTTGGATTCTGACTGCCCTTCAAAGAACAAGCCGATTTGTTTAGTCATAAACAGAAGAAAATGCAATATCTTTCTTCTCAATCAATATCTTTCTTTTCTATCTTTCTTTTGCTCCAGGTATGACAGCAGTCAGAAACGAGGAGCAAAACGATACAAGCTCAAGGTCATACCTGAGATAGTTACAAGGACGTTCAATCCTTCTAGCACATCCATCTGTTGAAACCGTCTCCTGTTGATCAGATTGTACACCTTTCCTTGTCCACTTCGATCTAACAGCATAAGCCCATTCTCTGTTCCTACCAGTAAATTTACACCTGCATGGCAAATAAACAGAGAAGATTGATGAAATAATGATTTGGATTAGTTGAAATTAGATGTTTTCAGCAAACATGAAAAAAAGGATCAAATTAAAGTCCAAACTGGATCAAAGGAATCAAATAAAGTAACTAAGGGTGCACCCACATAGGGATTTTGTCATGCTGTTCAATCCACACGGAGTGGAGCTGGTTCACTCTTTTTCCTAGTGATCCCATGACATTTAAGTGCCAGCCTGAACCAGCCTATCTGCAGAGCATTCTTATCCCCACCTTTCTGACTTCCTAACAGAGACTATTCTTTTTCAGGTGTGGGCAGGACCGGTCCCTCTTGGTTTTGCTCTCTGAGACTGAAGCTAAAGCACATGCCTTTTTGCTGTCAATTTCCCATCCACTTCACAATATAGGGAAATTTAAAAAACTCTTTCTCCTGGAAAGAAGAGACAGAATGGGGCAAGATATATTTTATTTTCAGTCCACCCACGAATGTTATTTCTAATGCTAGAAAATTGATCCCCCATCATACTAAATAAACATATTGTCTACCAGGGCTCCAGCTGAAACCCCAGTAATGTAAGGAATGGCGGGGCACCTGAACACCAAAGAAAGAAAACACGATAAATCTTCTGAGATTTAATAGACACAAATTATAACAAACGCCTGAGACTGGCAGCAGTTAGTCTCTGAGCCTTATAATATTGTGCCAGAGTCTCACGATAAATGCTGTGCAAATATCTACTATCACTAGAACTATTGTTTTATTCTTAACATGTAAATTTCATTTATCCTATTAAAATATCATTAACCGATACCCCAGAGAGCAGCACAAAGGATTTCTGAATTGAAGCGTTTCTTGTATTTTCGGATCTCTGGCGTGTCACTGTGAGGACGAATGTTGGTGGGGTTCACATTTACTACTGAAATTTTTCTTGCTTCATTCAGTTTGGCCTGCTCTTGTCTCAGCAGCTCACTGGTAAACAATGCTAGAAAAGAAAGCACAAAGCAGTACATTTGACAAATACAGAAAAGAAGGATTTTGTCAGCTAAGGACTAATTCATACATTTCTGCAATGAGATGAAAACTGCCTTACAAAGCTTCACCACACCTCTGTGGAAAACTGGAGATCAGGGTGGGCAAAGTACAGCTCATAGGCTACATACGGCAGCCAAGAGTATTTTTCTGCCCTCCCAAAAGGAGCCAAATTTTCACCCAGCATTCAGCATGCACCACACCAGGCCCAGAAATGGCACCAATCAGAGATGAGCATGAAATGAGCTGTGTGAATCCTCATCCCTCCCCCTTGTCACAGTGGTTGGCTGCCTGCCGGACTGGTGCACTGCTGGAGGAGGAGGTCCCTGGCAGCGCACAAAGAACAGTGAGCGGGCCAGCTGGCCGGAATGGGGGGAAGACGGTGCCATGTGGTGGACTTTGTACGAACTGCGATGAAGCACTTTGTGCCCATCTCTAGTATCAACTGGTTGCAAAATGGGGGGGACCAGAAGTGCCATGTATAGTTTTGAAACGAAGGCATGGGTGAACTTGTGCTCTAGCCTGCTTGAAGCAAAGAAAAGGAGATCTCATTTTTCTTTCCCAAACTTTGGGGGATGTCCTTCAAAGATGGCCGAGATTCATCTGTGCAATTAACAAATTCAAAAAAAATTCTTCTTGCAAGGAGCAAAAAGTCCCCCCCGTCCCCATTTTGGTACAGAAAGCTATTGTTCAGGAAGGGCCAAAGGGAAAGGAGTGAAGATGGCTGCCTTTCCTTCTGTTTTTCTTCTTTGTTTAACAACATCAAAATTACAATGAAAGAAACTGTACTGCTGTTCTGAGCTTATCTGTTAGAGATAGGCATATTTAGGATCCACTCGTAAGAGTACTTTGGTTCATAGTAGCCATGGCAAAATTCTGTGCAAGCAGGCATCTGGCCTGCAACTTGCCAGTCATGGGCACATGCTACTGAACACAATAGGTTTCAGTTGCTGGCATGTTCACCTGAATTTTGTACAAGTGACATGTCATGGTGTGACAAAAAAGCAGGAAGAGGGGCAGAGACACATTACCAGCTGGCCATGGGTTGGAAGCCAAGGAATTAGCAGAATTCATAAACACCTCTTCTTTGGGCCAACACATGTCCAATGTATGTGCAAATAAGCCTGAAGGATCTTATAGCCAAAGCACTTTTCTCTTTGCTAACAATCTCTACATTACCTGTAGCAGAGGACTCTTCATCATCATCTTCATCTTCATCTGTAGGGGAGGTCTGATATACTCTGGTATCCACAAATGGGGTGAAAGATGCTTTCGTGCTACTTCCCATGCCATACTATCAAGTGAGAAATATAGAGATGATGTGGGCAAAGAAAATTCAAGACAGTTTTTCTTTTTCCAACTACAGTGGTGCCTCGCTGGACGATTGCCTCGTGGGATGAAAAATCCGCAAGACAATTGTTTTTTGCGATCACTATGGTGCCTCGCAATACTTTTTTTTGAGACCGATGCTTCGCAAGACATGTTTTTTTTTAGACCGATGCTTTGCAAGACTTTTTTTTTTAAAGACCGATGCATAGGGAACCTCGCAAGATGATTTTTTCACAAGACGATGATTTTCACGGAACAAATTAAAATCGTCTTGCAAGGCACCACTGTAGATCGCATGTTTAAACGGCAGACTGTAACTAGCAGCACAATGTATGGTTAGCATATAGTTGCCAATTTACGTTTATTGCTTGATATTTTAACTTAATGCCAGGACAGGCAACACTGGAGAGTCTAAGGTCCATCCTTTGCCATCCAGGTCAGCTGAGGGGTATTCTAGGACCTTGAAGCAAAGGTAGAAGTGATGACACTTCAGCCTTTTGTCGGGGTGGGGGGATACAACAAGGCAGCATGTTTTGGAAGAGAATTATGCTTTGGAGGCTTCGGGAGGTGTAATTCTCTTGCCCCTTTTTTCTTCTTTGGAAAAAAGCATTCTAGCAGTGGGGGACCTAGGAGATGACAGGACATACGGGGCCCATCCTTGAACAAAGGGATTCTTGGATGCTCAGAGTCAGTTTCCACAGGTGCGTACATGGGGACCTTGGCTAATCTCCCTCCAGCCCCCAAACCTGGTGGAACGCTATTTACTTTCCTTGTACTGTTTCGGGAAAGTGTTTGGATTTTTGCATGTAGGTATTTGAGCATGTTGATGCTACTGTGAGCCCACAACTGACCCAAATGCAGCCTTTTGGTTCCCAAAGGCCACAGTCTCATATTGGACATCACTCGATGACTTCGACGATCAAATGATGATTTGCAGATGTGGATGGATCACGGATGATTAGATATCATGGACAATACTTCCATATCTTTCAAGGCAGGTTCTTAATGATTAAACACACTGGGCAAAATACTGTTGTGTAACTCTGTGCCAATGTAACCCAGTCTGAGTGCCATAAATGTCTCATTTAAACTCATGGAAAATTCCCTGTCCCACTACATTCGCCTCCAGGTTCTCAGGCCCTCTATGGCTTTTGCTCTGGGGAAGCCTCTGGGAGCCTCGGGGGTGGGGGTGGAAGCTTTGAACAGTCAAAAAAGGCCCTCTATGGCTTTTGCTCTGGGGAAGGCTCTGGGAGCCTCAGGGGTGGGGGTGGGGGAGGAAGCTTTGAACATTAAAAAAATGCCACCGGAGGTCCCAATTCCAGCAGTTGTGATTTTTTAAAGAACCTATTAAAGGGTCCTTCATATCCAGAGGTTCCCAACATCCTGAAGGACCCTGGCACCATAACTGCCTTTTGTAACGTATCTCGTATCAGTACCAATGTTATATTCATCCCAAGTGATATTCCAATTTGATTGTTCCTCCCTTCCCTTCACCAATTTTTTTCTTCTATTTTAAGCCTCTGTCACCTTAAATTTTTTACAGGGCACCTGTTAATGCTTTATACAGTGTTGGGACTGATTCACATCTTCAGAAAATATGTTTGTTCAACTGTATGACCCATTTGTTAAAAGTGAAAGAAAACCAGGTGCACAAAGCACCAACTTGGCTACCAGCCATGCCTGCAAAATTTAAGATGCCCAAGGGTGACACATTCTGCATATGATTAGAAGCACTCTCCTCTACAAATCCTTTTGTTTTTTTCCCTCTGTAGTGCAATCATAAGTATGGCAGCGACATAACTATTACCTCATTAATTAAGTCTACTCTAGCTGCTGCCACTTCTGTGATGATGCTACTGTGAACAAGAAAACAAAAAACCCCAAAACAAAACAAACACCCCAGTAAGATCTTGAACAAGTTTAATTCCCGGAGTCAGAGATGAGGTGACAATCCTGTTCTGGGACAAAAATCTGTTCAGGCTGCAAGTGATACCACATCTGCATATCCCCTCATAAGCATATACTGTATACCATGGTGGGATTCTATGCACAGAAATGTGCTTTTCTATAGGTAAACACTCAATTATGTGAGCATGCATCTAAAGAAAAAGAAAAAAACTGCTCCAAGAAAAGAAAAGAAAAGAAAATAACTATAGAGGCAAGAATCCAGCAAGAAAGTAAACTGATAAAGATTTTCCTCCCAAGATTTCAAAGGTATCAGGAAAAGGGGAAATTTACAAATAATTGAGTTTTTACTATATAATTAGGATGCAAAGCGCAGCTATGCCTGCATTCCTTTGAGACAAACCATAACCAATAGTTAGCTCTGTCAGGATAAGCCCTTAATCTTACCTTCTGAATTATATTAATTATTCACACCAACAAAAACCCTGGTTTAAGGTTTCTAATAAAGCTGTTGGTTGTTGGGAAAATGCTCTATTCAGATTTTGGATATGCCATTCTCTCAATCGGCACAAACATTTAAGAGGTACTGAACTATTTCCATACCTTCCTGGACCACACTGAAGAACAGGAACAGTGTGGTTTGGAAGTTACGGCACTATATGAAACATCAGGTGAAATCCAGGGCCACTCAGACATAACTCTTGGGGAGGTAATGCTCAAATTAATGTACCATGTATGTATGTAACATTTTACATTGTACTCTACTTGATGCATTTAGAGTATTGCAGCAAAACAAATGTGTAGCAGGACTGCAATATCTGTGGGGATCCGTTCCAATCTCCCCCGTGGATGCTGAAAACCGTGGATATGTAAACCCTAATGTATAAAATTGCTGCATATAATAATTGCTTAAATAATATATATGCAACATTGAATGTCTAGGTCAATGGAGACTTGACTTACAGACTTTTTGACTTGAGAACCGCCTTCCAATACGGATTAAGTTCTCAAGTCAAGCCCCCACTGTAATAATTGCTTAAAAATATATATATGCAACACTGAATGTCCATAGTTTGGTAGCTGACTCAGATAAGTGATGACAGCCCGAGTCACAAATTTCTGAATGTCAAAATATAGAACCACACCCTCACTCTCCTTCTGAGCACGCACAACACCGTTTTCTCACAGTTAGTTTCCTATTAACATTTCTAATATATCTAGTATATCTGTCTGGGATTGTTAATGTAGACAGCTACCAAATTTCATTAGATACCAAACCTCAGACATTCACTGTAAAGATATAAGTATACATATTTTCTTTCTCTCTCTTCATATGCTCACAAAAGTAACTGCATCTAGATGTAACAACACAGAAATTATTTTATGTGGCCAGATGCACATGTGGAGAATCTAAGTGCAGCTGCCCAGATGACATATGAAGATATCTTCATATTCATGTATTAAGAAAAGGTCAGGATGAAAACATCCTTTATCAATATTAGGCAGCAACACATTTCTGGATGCACACCCTGATTCTTCAAAGCTGCACTCACATTCACAAGTTTGCCTTCTTCATCTTCACTTGCCTAAATCGCCCTCTGGAAGATTGGCTCAAATGTTTCATTTCCCTTTTTAAATGGTCAAAAAACTCCTATTCTAATCTGCAACTATTGAGAGGGGGCTTTTTGCCAGACACTTTGCTTGAAGCATTTACAAGGCAACTAAAAAGGTAACAATCAAAATCCTGGTAGGTAATATATTACTAAGCATGGTAAAACTGGAGTTTGATTCTGTAGGAAACAGGGGATAATGAATTTCCAATATTTAGTCTGTTTTCTTTGGACATCTGTTGCTCTGCTAATGCCCCCAAGCAAAGATAAGGTCTTTTCTTAAGAGACAGCTAAATTCTTCTCGATAGCTATAGGGGATAAGATTTCTTCCACCCCAATAGCTAAACCACTTCTTTTTCTGCTATGCTATTTACACACATTATGTTATATTTATTACCTCTGCTAGAAGCTATAATAACAGAAAGAAGCTGGGGGGGGGGAGAGACACCTTTCCATCATTGGTATTTTATGCCTTCTCCTTGGATTTACTTCAAAACCACTACAGCCCAGAACCAGCCTGTGATCCAGGTTGAAAGCCAGTGTCAGAGCTAGGCAGCTGTCACACTGGATAATTGCCTAGCCTGTCGGCTGTAAGAAGATAACCAGCCTCATGAAAGCGTCTGCTACTCTTTAAGGTACACGTAGGCCTGCAGCATTCTGAGGCCACCACTTGAGTTTCCAGAAAAACGCAGAACAATCTCTTAGCAAAGTAAAAAAAAGGATTAAACTAATGAGTTCAGGAGCGAGTGTTTAGCTCTCCTGAGATTTTTATTAAGAGTTGGATGTGCCAGCTCCCTAAATCTAGTGACATAACAATTTAATAGCAATTCTACAATTTATAAACTGCCTGTAAGAATTAGGCAATTTTTCATGGTTTGTCTTTCCTTACTAATTTATTTTGCTTCTGCTACACTTGGGAAATTTCAAGGAGCTTCTTCAGTCAGTGAAGCTCTATTCCGACCTCAGGAAAGCTCATTAGATCAGTCTACAGCCTTCTGAGAATTCAATAAGAATTATTCACTTCTACAGTAACTGTGAAGCTATTTCTTTATATCTACAAAGGGCCAGAAATTTGCTTTCTTGAAGGAAAACTTCTAAAAAGCAGAAATATTCTGTATGCACCTTCGTGTGTGGAACTCTGATGTATTACAGCCCTGTCTGTAAGATATTGGCTGAAATCTTGTAGTGCAGCTCCAGATGAACAATGGGAATGAAGTCATCTGCACTCTGAATGAATATCTGCTGGTTAAATTCATAGGTAAAAGCAAAACAGAAAAGTTTTTTAAAAAAGACAAAAATATTGGTGGCACCTTAAACATTAACTTTTAAATTTTTTAACGTAATGCTTCAAGGAAAGACCTGCATATCAAAGACGTTATCACCATAATGTTATCCACCCTCTGATTTTCCCACCACCCAACCACTATCTCTGTAGTTGATATCTATATTTTGGCGCTATGTATAAATATTTGCCCTATTGATTCTCTTTCTCATGTCTGGTGAAGTGGACTTCTCCATGAAAGCTCACATTAAAAAATAAAAATAAAAGTTAGTCTTTAAGGTGCCACCATGTTTTTTTTGTCTTTTTAAAATTTTTATTTCTGTTTTCCTTTACCTATAATCCTTAACACGGCTACCCCTTCTACAAACTATGGTTAAAGGCTCCCTTTGGCAATCTCGGAGTGTACACAACTTTGGAGCATTGTGTATGAGTTATGTGCACCCCCCAAATCTCCACAGGAGTTGATGCTGGCACAACATACTCCCACAAACTGTGTTTTATTTTATAGAAGCTCATTAAAATGAAATAGCATGATCTGCACTGGGAAAGACATACACGTTGAGAGGAACAGGTGCATTTCCTAGGTGGTATTTTCTGGTTTGCTTTTGTTGCTATCATTGCTGAGGAAGCATATGCCTCCAATGGTAATTACCAGCAACAAATGGATGATATAAAATCCAACTCTTTCTATAATCATAGCCATATACTGGAAAAGGGGGAAACAAAAATCAGGAAGTGTGCCTCTCAATCGCAGGATCTTAATACAGGAAAATGAAAATCAAATGGTGTAGGCATTTCACTAAGAGGCTTCCAGTACCTACTTCAGCCACAGAGTCCATTTCTTGTCCATGTGTGGAAACTCGCCCTAGGCCCTCGGTTGGTGTGCCCACAGGCGAATGGCTCTGTTGCACCAAATCTGGAAGGTTGACATGGCCTGGAAAGCCATTGCTGGCTGTGTGGCCAGAACGCTTTTTGTCACTGGAAGTCTGCAGAGTTAGAAGGAAAAGAGAAGAAAATAAAAACCTGCATCACCACCTTAACTCACATACTGAAGAAAGGAGACACACAAACATCTTGATCTTAACATGCAATCTCAGCAACTGTCAACATATTTACAGTGATGAAAGATGTGGCACTCTGCTTAGACATTAACAAAAGAATAATTATGGTTATTCTTAAAGCCACAAGGTGAAAACCACCTCTTGAGATTCTTCCATGCTACTTAAACCAACAGTGAGTGCTATCAAATGAGAGACAGAACATGAAGGAGAATTCATAGGACCAGTTGAGTCAACCAACCAACAGTGAGTGCTATCAAATGAGAGAACATGAAAGAGAATTCATAGGACCAGTTGAGTCAACACAAGTTTCTTATCTGAATCAGATATTTGACAACACCCATGTGAACAAACTGAACTGTTTGGGGGCTGATAGCTATCATATGGTAGCGCCAATTGTATGACCCAGAACACAGATGTTATCCATATGATGAACACCATTTGCAGGCTGTCATGATGTAAGAGACCATACTTAGCTTCTATATGGTCTTTATTTACACTGTAACCTCACTGGCTAATCCTCTTCTTCCCATAGGTAGCTATGAAGGTTCTTGTCACAGTTTATTATTCCAATTGTTTAAGATCATATGTGAAGAGAGATGAGGTAATTCCTGCATGCATTGCTTGAAAGGAAGGCAGGGAGAGGGGATTTTAATGACACCTCCAGACCTGTCATTTAACTAATTAACAGGACTATATTTTTTTCCCAAGTATCGAGGTCCTAAACCGTTTAGGGCTTTGAACGGACTATATTTTTTTCTTCACAACAAAAGGGCCTTTTCACATGATCTGACAGGATTTAGGACTAGACTGATACCCCACATTAAAATCATAATGCTTTGGTTTTGCATGTCCACCCCGGGCTTGAAAATCATGCCCCAACTGCCTGTGTCCACTGAAACAGCACCTACAGGCGAGGTCCTAAACCGTTTAGGGCTTTGAACGGACTATATTTTTTTCTTCACAACAAAAGGGCCTTTTCACATGATCTGACAGGATTTAGGACTAGACTGATACCCCACATTAAAATCATAATGCTTTGGTTTTGCATGTCCACCCCGGGCTTGAAAATCATGCCCCAACTGCCTGTGTCCACTGAAACAGCACCTACAGGCGCACGCAGACCACACACATCTTTACAAGAATGTATCACAACTAACTGCATGGGGGAAAGCCTGCTTGTATCGTTCTGAAAAAAGTAGAAGCCTCCCAGCAGCAGAGAAGAAAAAGTGATTTGGGAGCAAATAAGGGCTGGATTAATTTGAAGCAGCCTTTGTGTTGTGTGATAAGTAGTTTGAATTCACCCATTTTATAAGCAGGGAAAATCCCGCAGCATTAGACATATAGTCATGCTCTTACTGTGCCATGAATGATTGTGCTTTTAAAAATCTGAAATGTGCCACTTTTGAAATGTACAGTATAGCATACGGAGGAGAGACAATTCTGTAAAACCAAGTCTACTTTCTGATCCACATCATCTTCTCTTTACAACCTACAAATATGAGGTAATGCAAAACAAGTTTGTGTAGTGGGTTGACAAAAAGACCTGGCTCTTTAAGCAGGCCTTCCCTCCTATCAATACTTGATTTTTCTTTTCATTTAGTTTTCTTTATTCTTTCCATCTTCACCAATGTTAATCTTGTTAATTTAAATTGTTGTTTTAACTGTATATGTATATTGTTTTATGAATGATTTTATATAAGCCATCCTGAGTAGACTTTGTCTAGACAGTGCGGGATAAAAATCTAATAATAAATAAAATAAATAAATAAATACCAATGAGTTTGTGAAGTTCCTATCATATATCCATCAACCTCTGCATTTTAATTAAAAAGAAGAGGAAAAAAACATTACAAAACAAAACCCCCACCTTTTGTCCAATTAAGAAGGAACAGCTTCAAGGGATATTTGTAATAGCAAAAGTTTCTATCTAGTGCTTCTTAAGAAATGAAGCCCTGTTCATAGTTTAGGGGGCTGAGCCAGTTTCTCATATGCAGTCAAATGGAACAGAAGAGCCTTCCTTGACGTTATGCATTCATATGGGAATGCTCCAGTGTATCTTTCTGTGGCAATTTCCATGTACAGAAAGCCATTACACCAGACAAAGGCTAGGTTGAACCTCTCCATTTGCAAGGAGAAAAGGCTTCTCCTAGTTGGTTCTGTTTCATCGGGTGGTATTAATTGCCTCACAGAGTCATGGTACCAATTAGTGTTGGAACCAATCATTTCTGTGCCTGGGGCGTTAATTGAATGTTATGTTGCCCTCCTTGGGGAATGAGAAGAGAGAATGGCATATGTATCCTTTTGAGTCCTGAGCAAGCTCGATTATACTGATCCCAGCTGGAAACTTCATGCTTTATTAAGCCAATACTTAAGTGCTGCGCCTGCAAGTTCCCACCTTCTCACTGTTAGCTCCAGGATCTGCAGCACAGTTTCTTTAAAAGAGTAACCTATTATGCCTGGAATGGGAACTGGGTTGCTCTCAGATACGAAACCATTCCTCATTATGCAAGATGAAACCTGAATCTTCTGCTCTGCATGCAACAACAAGACTGATGAAATGAAAATGCAATTGCCAAAGGCTAAGTGTGGGACAGAGCAGGAGACGTGTGGGTAAGCAAACAGACCTACAGCTTGCTTTCAGTTTGACAAATCTGAGTTTATTAAACCAGGATTGTTATGTTCAAATCAGCCAAATGGGCAAATTATCTTACTACATTGGGCTTCATTACAGGCAGAAGGCCACTTAGAAGCTACAGCTGCAACAGACGCTTGGCTTTATACTCTTATCAAGCTTCATTGGAAATGGATAGTTAGCGTTTCATTTTCCACCTTTAAAATACAGTACTACACCTATTCCAAAATGGAAGGAAAATGCTGCCTAAATTAACATTTAATTTCAGATTCATTTTCCACCTTTAAAATATTACACCTATTCCAAAATGGAAGGAAAATGCTGCCTAAATTAACATTTAATTTCAGATTCAGGTATTATATGACTTTTGATGCCCATCTTCAGCCTGTCTAAGTTGTCTTCTTGTTTTGCTTTTTATTTTCTAACTGCTCCATTGAGGTAAACCATCCCCGCCTGCAGATTTTACCATTTGGCACAGCTAGCAAAAGAGAGAATCAGCATGGCAAAGTTACTTTTTTTTTAAACTACCGCTCTCAGAATCCCCCAGCCAGAGTGTTTCTGGGCATCATAGTCTGGAAAAAGAATACTCTGCTCACGTCTCAATATGTAGAATCTAGACCTTATCAAAGCCAGTAGCCACTGCCACCTCGTGTTTATTTCAAACTGGATTGGGTAAATGTATGTGATTTAGTATGGCAGTGAACAGCAGCAGCTCTCCCCCTGCATAGATTAATCGAACTCTTTTTTGTTCTGATATGCACGCTCACACTAGCATCAATGAGAGTTATGTGTCTCTGCAGAGAGGAGAAAGCCTCTTCTATCTGGAGCTGGGGAAATGCAACAAAATCCAGTAAAAACAACCTCACTTTGTTCCCTCTTCTTATCTCGGCTGCCAACTGACAAAAACAGACTGACAGGTTTCAAGCGCAAAAAGTCATCACTGATGTTTCTTTTGCTGAGTTACAAACCTGTCGGAGATTGTCAGCAACATGTTGCAACTGGAGCAACTTGCTGTCTATGTTTAATGTGTCACTTATTAAGAAAAGGCCAAAGAAGGGTAATGTACCTGAAAGACATTAGCCCTGGCTGCATAAGCAGCATCTGCCACTGTTCTTCAAAACTCACAGTTTCATCAGACGGCAAAGAATAATTTATTTTAGGAAACAGACATGGAACACAGTTACCTTCTATGGTACTCATCACAGCATGAATCTTGAGGTTTGTCAAGTCTAAGGTCCCTTTCAGACTTTTTAGCAAACAAGGAATTCATTAATAAGGCAGAGATTTGCTTTGGTACATTATTTCTCCAAAAGCAACCATATTCTCCCTTTACTTTTCAAGACTGTGGTCCACTGCACACACTACTGTTAAAGACATGCTGGTCCATGAGTGTGACAATCATCCTCATCATTGCACCAATCACCGAAGCAGCCCGGCTGGCTCTTCTAAGCTTCCCTGCACAGCTGACCACTCAACAACTGAGCAAGGAGAATCCCCATCCTGCCTCTTCACCGGAGAAGTCAGCAACGTGGGGAGGTGGGGAACAGGCAGGCAGCCTACAGTACTTCCACAATTGAGGACGAGAGCTGAGCACTGCACAATGACTCGTGAGTGAGCCAGCCACTTTGTGGGAGAGGGAATGGATTTCCATGGCACCTGTGATGCCCATATTTGTATTTCTATTCCCAGGGGTATGAATACAAATACCCCATGTCTAACAAATACCCATCTGATCACCTCTATGTGTGAGAAAGAGAACAAATGATAAGTGTATTCATGTGGATCTATGGATGGTCTGTGCATGCACATGAAATTCAGAGAAAGACAGAAATCAAGCAAGAGAATGGATCAGAAAAAGTTAGATGATTCTAATAGCATTATCCCTTGGCATATAATACGCGACAGATCATCCTAGAAAGACTACAACACTGGCAATAGAAAAAGACTCTCTAATTCTATCTTAAATTGTGTCTCCGACAGTGTGACTTTCCATCATAATAATGGTAACTTCTGGCAACAGGGCGGGCAGCCACCACTATGTTTTTTTTAACATGGTATAGCTGTGAATAGCCAATAATAGTAAAAACACTTGAAAGTAATAATGTTGCCTCTGTAGAAGACTTTTAATCAGCAAGGACTCATGGCCAGTGGCTTTCTGCAAAGCCATTCTGCATGATTCTGTTCTGCATGGAGTCAGGGAAGGTTTGTTTGGTAGGGATAGTTTTAGTGTTTAGGTGATGGTTCTCCACAAAGTGTTAAAGCTGTTGTGGGAAGGGTTTCATAGATACTGCAGATGTACCTGAGGGTCTGCGATGTTACATGTCCCTCCTCCACCCCCGCCCATATCAGTATGCAAAATTACACAAACCCTTGAAAGAAAAAGTCACATTTTGCTGGCCTCAAATTGATCTGAAAAGAATCTTTCTCTATCCTGTGAATACATTGTCATTAGAGTATTCAGACAGAGAGCTACAATTAAGCCAAAGCGGCTGAGCATCTTCAACAGATGGCTAAGGAGGAAATTAGTGCAGAAGTATACGGGCCAGGTTTCAGTGTCACTTGTAATGGTGTAACTCTTAGGCAAGTATTTTCATTTAGCAGTCTTTCTTCCTTTCAGCCAGGGTGGAAAAGTATGAGAATCCAGCAGTAACCTTGTTGTGTCCTACTGCGTTCTCTGCTGTTCGCAGTTTGGAGAAACCTCTTTTGTTTAGATGTTCTAATTATATTAATCAGACACTAACAAGCACAGTTTAATCAATCACTTTGTTCTCAGAATACACCGTGTAATTATTATTCATAGCTTACAAAGACAAAACCTCTCAAAGACGCTGCACAGAAAATAGTCACCACCCACTTACCTCCCTTATCATTAAAGTTCCTTCTCTTGAAATACTGCTAAATGTTTCAGTCTGGGATGACTCAAGCCCATGACTTGATACCATGCCTAGGTTGTAGGCCTCGTTGTTTCCCGACATTCCAGTTGGTCTGCAAAATATTAGTAGCAATAATTTAGAAACTAAGGGAGCGGGGAGACAATATCATTTGAGGTCATCTATTGCTATCTCATCTTAAAAAGCAAAGACATCACCTTGCCGACAAAAGTCCGCATAGTCAAAGCTATGGTTTTTCCTGTAGTGATGTATGGAAGTGAGAGCTGGACCATAAAGAAAGCTGACCGCCGACGAATTTATGCTTCAGAATTGTGGTGCTGAGGAGACACTTGAGAGTCCCCTGGACTGCAAAGAGAACAGATCTATCCCTTTTGAAGGAAATGGATAGGTGCTCACTGGAAGGACATTGCTCACTGGAAGGACAGATCCTGAAGGTGAGGCTCCAATACTTTGACCATCTCATGAGAAGAGAAGACTCCCTGGAAAAGACCCTGATGTTGGGAAAGTGTGACGGCAAGAGGAGAAGGGGACGGCGGAGGATGAGATGGATGGACAGCGTCATCGAAGTGACCAACATGAATTTGACCCAACTCCGGGAGGCAGTGGAAGACAGGAGGGCCAGGCGTGCTCTGGTCTATGGGGTCACGAAGAGTCAGACATGACTAAAGGACTAAACAACAGCAAAAATTGCTATCTCATAAAACATGAACATAATTAGACTTTGCAGACTCAATGAACACAGTGATGTTTTCATTTTTAAAATCTACCTACATGAAAATTTAGGATAGGAAGTTACAGGATCTTTTCTGTGATTCTAAGATTTCGTTTTCTAAACAATATTACCTGCGGGCACAATTACACTCCATACACTCAGTATCTTCACAGAAGTGACCATCCGGCATGCAGTTCTCACTTTCCTCTTCGTAACGGAAAGGGGAAATAGGGGGCATGACATGGTTGTGTGGGGAGTTTCTTCTGTTTGCTCCTAGATTGGGATCATCCCAATGGAGTTTGTAGAAATTCAAATCTGATAACCCAACTCAGGCATTCAATAGAAGGGATAATTTTAACCTGGGAGCGGACTAGCCCCACCTCCATGTGTGCAGAGCTAAATTAGAGCTTCAGATTTAGCTCTGCACACATGTGCAGAGCTAAATCTGAAGAGACGAGTCTGTCACTTGGTTCTCACCACGCGATCAGAAAAGCCTGAACAGTCACAGTTCTGTATCATGTCTGTATGTAGAGACTGTTCTATTCAAATTTAGCTTTTCACATGTAATGGCTAACATAAAGGATGGTAAGGCTAGCCTCCTCCATCTGTTCGTGAGTTAAAGCAACCCTTTTACTGAATGCCTGGATAAGGCTACCATCTCACACAGCCTGTTGGGTGAGGCTCTCCTTATGGGGAGAAAAGGAAGAAATTGGATGGATACAATTGCTACTGCAAGCGTCCTACTTTGACTGCGTGGTAACGATTTTAAGCATTCACTGTATCACATTTCACTTCGTTGTGGACTTCCTCTCATATAGGGTTGCCAGATACATGTGTATGAAAAGGAGGACACAGAAAGCCAAAAAGGAGGACAAAGGAGGACATATTAGGGGGCTCTGTGCATGGGTTGGGGCGAGGCGGGAGGCATGCCACTTTTGGAATTAGGTATTGGGGAAAATAGCTCTTTGATCATGGGGCAACACCATAACCATTCAACCTACTCAGTCTTGAAGGGTCAAGACAGGGAAAGTTACATTTTTGGACTATAAAACTCAGAATCCACTGGCCACTGTGTTTTCGTGTTTTAAAAAATGTTTAAAAATAAAAATAAAACAAAATAAATCTACATATACACACCCAGGACCAATGGAGACAATCTATTCCTTCCTTTAATGGCGACCCATCCTCCTTGTTTTATTTATTGATTTTTTATTTTAATAAAAGCATAATAAAGTGAAATAAAGAGTTTAAAAACTTGTGTGACAGATCTGAAGCACTTTATTAAAACCAGGAAAGAAAACAGAAGGCATGGATTTCTCTTAGCTTGAGAAATGCAAAGGGTGGAGAAAATGGATTTTTACACACACACACACACACAAACAAAGCCATTTTCTCAACCCTCTTCAATTTCTCAAGCTGAGAGAAATCCGCTTGTGTGTGTGTGTGTATGTATTCCAGCTCCCACAAGCATAGGGGATAACTCTGCATATGCTCCTGGACCTGGAAACATACTCTGCCCATGCCCCAGGGTTGGGGGGGGTCAGGGCAGAAGGCGGGGATAAAAGTCCCTCCTGTTCCCCAGCTTTAGGAGGAAGGAGGGACCAGCCCGACCCCTATTTCCCTGGCTTTGAACCTCCACCACCCCAAACCCCAGAACAGCCCCCCCTCCAGCAGGCAAGCAAGTGCACTCACTTCACTCCTGTCCATTTCCATCCATCCATCCATCTCTCTCGCACCTTCCTGCCTTATTCAGCTCCCAGGCAGAAGCAGCCATCCACAAGCCGGGGACTGATTGCCCGGGGCTAGAACAGCCCTAATCAATCAAGCCACCTTATCTCCTTCCAATCTCTCTGCAAGAACTGGAGGATTTACAAGGGCCGCAATCAAGGAATCAACAGGGAGCGGTTGGGCTGTAGGGAGTTGGGGTTGGGTGGACATACAAAAGCTGGACATTTTGGAGTTTTTAGCTTTGCCTGCCGGACGGATGACATACTCCTCAAAAGTAGGACATGTCCTCCTTTTGCCGGACATCTGGCAACCCTACTCTCATATCCAGTTGAACACAGAAATATATAGGACAGCTCACCTTGACCAGAATCTGCCGAAAATCTATATATGTGGAACAGTTATTATGTCAAGTCTTTTGTGACCTGTGGTACAATATCCATTGTGTGACCAGTCACACACATGTGAATTAGAAGCTCTAATTTAGCTCTGTGGTCAAAAAGTGCAAACTATTAGCATTATTATCTGTGAACACAAGAGTTTTTTAAAAAGCCATTAAGTTTTGCAAGATGCCGTTTTTTATTTAGAAAAAAACAGAAACGATGCAAAGTGGGAGACTCACAGGCAGGCAATAGTTGCCATAAGAAGACACTTTTCCAATGGCCTTCCCCTGATAACAGTGAAGTTACCAGCTAAACCCTGACATTTTTGTTTCTGGTGCAACCTGGGATAATAAGCTTTCAGCACTGTCTGAAAAGACTAAACTAGAAAGACAGCATATAGACCTTACAGATCAAGGGCACAACAAGAAGCCACAGCATGGCATATTTTAAATCACATTAAGCAAAATAGAAATAAAATATCTGCCCAAACTTTACCCGTAAGATATATTTGAAGGACAACAAAAATAAAGAGCAGCCGCGTAATGCTGCCAAGAGGCAGAGACTGACCCAGATAAGGCCTGGAGAAATAGATGAGAGAAAGTTCTAATAATGATCCAAATGCTCTCAGCTGGAAGCAACAATACTTCGTTAATCTTCAGAATACTGAAGGGCAGTTAAGACTGTGCAATAGTGCAAAAGGCATTGCATTATTAATTTCATATACAGTTATTAAGATTGGGTACAGAAGAGTCTCTCTAGGACAGAGAAAGGCAAAGTAATCTCTGTAGGTTGCTGGGCACCACTGTACAGTACTTAAATACGGCTCTGATTGGTCCATAGGTGAGAGGTGGCCAAATTGCATGTTTCCCTACCTTTGCTGACTGGAACAGAGAAACACGTTTTTATAATGTGATGGGAAAGATGAGTGGTTTTTCTGCATGACATGAGGGAGGGTCTGCTATGAAGGATGTTTCTTTCAGCGTAACCTACTCTCACACAGACATGTTTCATTCCCCTCACAACTCCGAACATGTAATTAGCACAGATTTATCTTAACTGAAATGTGCCTTACATAAGCCTAGGAATGTCGCTGACCGGCACAGTCCCATCCTGCGTTTCACCCTCCCCATCTTCCTCTTCTTCTTCGCTGCTTTCTGACTCCTCACTGGAGGAAGAGTAGTCCGTAACTTTTTTCAGAGGCCGGTTGGTTTCTTCAATCCGCAGCTCCCTCAGTTCTTTTGCTAAGGCAGTCAGATCCTACAAGGGGAAGTAAAAGATGGGTTCCAACATGAATTTCATCTAAAACATAGGGAGGAAAACGTTACACTTATCCGACTGAAAGCTACACTGCAGAGCACGAGCAACCAAAAATAATAAATAGAAAGTATTCTTACAAACATGGACAAATATAAGACAACATAGCATGTAGCTTTCATTGAACAACAACAACAAAATGGCTTACACTTGAAAATTCAACAGCCAACCTTCCAATTTTGACCACACAGGTGTGTGTACATATCAATTTGTGATCTATGTACAGACGCAGCACATTTATACACAATTTTAAAAATGTGGTATTCAGTCACCATCATAGTAAACTGGAAAACAATGTTATCTTTGGAGAATGCTTATTACCTTAATCCTAAATTCTCACACTTGAAAGTTCCAGTAATTTCTGTGAAACTTCATAGCTACAGATCCTGAACCTAAACATATTGTAAGAGGAACTGAATGACTTCAACACTTCAAATTATATGGTATCTGAATTAGTCTGGATGTTTCACTCACCACAGGAACAGGGATCACCTTAATGGGCTGTTCATCCCACACCCCTGGTCATAGACGTCAATACATCTGATTTAAAAACACCCATATTTTGAAAGAAAAAGTTGGACTCGTATTATGGTGGGGGCAAAGATTGATTGTGATCCCTCTTCCCTGCACACTATAGTCCCAATCTCACTTTCCTTGGCTCGCTTTGTTAAAGAACCCCCAGCTGTGCAAGAGCTAAAGTTGTGAATTGTATAGATATCCGCCCAAATTTTCTGTAAGGAATATAGTAAGATAGCAACAATTTGTGGGAGATTTGGTATTTCAGTGTGTAAAGGCCTTGGGTAGTGTTCACAGAAAGAGAAACAGGTTGGGTGGAATTATCAGCACAAAGATGTGAATTACCAACTGGCTTACTGGGCTCATTTTTTACCTTTGACCCCTTTTAGTAGACTCTGGGTATGTGTCTTTCCCTTCAACCTACAACAGTTAGTTGCAATTTTGCTCTTAAAAACAGACAGACAAACGATAAGATAAAAAGTTCAAGAACCTGAGAGGGATTGAATAGATTCTGTAATTTTCAGGGCAAGCATCTATATCTTCTGCAATTGGAAACCACTTAACAAAATTCCCACAATGTTCAAGAGACAAATCCTCCTCCAGAAGATTCTCTTGCTTTAGAGAATTGCCGCTTTCTAACTTCAGACGTTAGAGCAGGGATGGGGAACAAATTGTACACCTTCCCACTCAATTTTCCTGCAGCTGTGACATTAAAATAAGCAGAGCTTTTACCTTTATAGACTCTTTTTTTTCATGCATGGCAACTGGTTATGTGCTTCCCCTGTGCCTCGTTTACATGCAGATTCACATTTCAGGAAGGCTCCAAGGAAAGTGGATCTGCTTTTACAGAAGGTATGTGCAGAGTACAGGTCTAGTTTTAAAGGAGGAAAAGGTGTTTTGGAAAGTTGTGAGACAGAAGGCGAGAGGGATGCCCCACTTGCTCGAGAGCCGTCCCTCCCCCACAACAAGGAGGAGAGTCCCCAGCCAGCACCAGAACCTGAGGCAGAAGCTCAGCAAAGGACATAAATGGAGGAGTTGACCGAGAACTTGCAGGGTGTGAGAATGAGAGAGGTCCGGGGAAAAAAGGCAGGAGAAGAAAGGAATAAGAAGGTGGAGTTTGAGGCAGGAACAGTGGAGGTAAAAAGGAAGGAGAGTCAGTTGCTGCCAGGCTGGGAATGGGTGTGGATGGAGGATCCCTGGACAGGATGATGGGAGAGGCTGGGAGTGCCTAAAGAGGAGGCAGATTATAGAAGAAGAAGGGAGATTGCCCCCAGACCCTCTTATTGGGGAGAAGCCAAGGTGGGAGAGTGGAGGAGGAGGTTGAGAGAAGAGAAGGAAAGAGTAGAGAGAGAAAGGAGAGAGAGAGGCTAGAATGGAGAATAAGAGAGATGAGGAAGAAGAACTACAGGGAGGACCCTGGGAGGATCGAGACCCCGAGACGTCAACCCCGTGGAATGTTGATCGGGAGGACGAGACCGTGCCCTTGCTGGAAGGTTCGATGGGGCAGACCGTGAAAGACTAGGTCCCTGCTGATTTACCGGGACCATGGAACAATAGTTATGGCAACCTGTTCCTGTTTGAAGATTGGAGATCCCTTCCACATCCGTTGGCAGAAGGAGAAAAGATTCATAATCATGTCACAGACACTTGTTTACTGTTAAATGCACCAATAAATCTTTCACCTGTTTTGAAGCAACAAAAATCTACTGAATTTTTTGAACCGAAAGAGGAGCCTAAAACCAAACCCTCACAAAAGTAAATCAGTGCTTTTCACACCATGGTGTTACATTTGCCAGCAACGGTGAAGGGGACCTTCAGGTTGTGCATTTTGGGGGCAAAAAAATGACATGAACATATGCAATCTGGGGGAGGGGGTTGTCAGTCTAGAGATTTGGCAACTTGATGCTTTGCACAAGGAAACCCAATGACTTACAATAATTATAGATACATTTTACGGGAGGAGAAGCTCGGCCAAACCCTCACAAAAGTAAATCAGTGCTTTTCACACCATGATGTTACATTTGGCAGCAACGGTGAAGGGGACCTTCAGGGTGTGCATTTTGGGGGCACAAAAATGACATGAACATATGCAATCTCGGGGGGGGGGTTGTCAGTCTAGAGATTTGGCAACTTGATGCTTTGCACAAGGAAACCCAATGACTTACAATAATTATAGATACATTTTACGGGAGAAGCTCGGACTAACTAGCAGACAATAAACACAAGTGTTTTCAGTTTACTATGACACTGATGAAACCTTGGACTTCACATGTACAGATTGACAATATTATTTCAAGACAAAAGGCACTGCAAGCACCATGTAGAAGAAATAGATTTATTATAATCTTACATGCTTTTATAGCAATGCAGGGAGAAGCATTAAGGTGAAAAATAAAAATGCATGAGAGCTCTAATTAGAATGGATTTAGGAGTTTACTGCATAAGGCATGCACAAGATGAACAAAGCAATTGCAGTTGTCAGTCTTACCATTTCCCCCTATATTAATGACCGAGGAAGCCATCAATGCATTCGGTCAGAGATAAAGGGTTAGGGAGAAAGAAACTCATTGAAAAAAAAGTCTAATCTCCACATTTTGTCTTTGTTCTCATGGCCATTTTTCTCTCTTTGATGCTTCTTACTACTTCCCCAATTACTGGTGAAAACAAAACTGACCTGAAGGAGGCCCTGCACTGATTCTTAAAAATCCATCTCTCCTATCATAAAAGGAAAAAACTGGAGGAAACCCAAGGAACTAAATCCCAACGGAGCTCCAACAGACACATATGATTTTACCAGAAACTGACGGGCAATCTGATTGTCAGATTCAAGCCTATGACTGAACATACTTTAACGACGTGTTATAAAGAGCAGAGAAGATCAACACCTAGGTCTCTGTCCTAGATCATTAATGTTAACTGCATTTTTCATTTTAGTTCAGATTGTTTGTCATTCTGCTGTTTTTCTTAATCTTTATGGACAAACCGTACAAGAAGCACTTTGTTCTTGAAAGTGTTATATATTAAAGCTTTCAACTATTTAAGAATTTTAAGCCAATTCATTCCCTGATTGTTAAGTGATTCTTCAATCAATGGAATGTACACAGCAAAAAATCCTTCACATCAGTACCCTCTTAGCACAGTAAAGGGAGTGTTTCAGACCATAAATCTTCAACAAACCAGAGTTACAATTTCTTATTGGAGGGATACTTCTTTACACATTTTGCAGCAATGCAACATAACCCAAAGAGTCTTGAAGAATGAGCACAGGTGTCATTAACTTGCAGCCTTACCAACAAAAGCCAGTTAGAATAATAGAATATTTGAGTTGGAAGGGCCTATATAGTCATTGAGTCTAACCGCCTGCTCGGTACAGGAATCCAAATCAAAGCAGATCTGACAGATGTCTGTTCAATTTTCTCTTGAAAGGCTCCAGCGTTGGAGCACTCATCATCTCCAAAAGGCAGTTGATTTCATTGTCATATTGCTCTAACAGTTAAGAAATGTATCCAGCATAAATCTGATTTTCTGTAACTTGAGCCCATTATTATATAACTGCACTCTGGAATGATCTTGCAGACTACTCAGCTTGTAAATAACGTCTACTTATTGATAGCTTGGGGATGTACAAGCTGAAATCCTGTTGCTTTGTTATGGACGCAGAAGGCAAAGAGTTGCTTTCACCTGGTAATTAACGAGTCCCTGTCGGGATTCCTGAGTGAATGCTAAGCCAGTGAACATAGGCACCACATAGAATCCCAATGGTTGACTTGTTAATTGAGAGTTTGAACAGAATTTCAGTCAGTAGATATAATGCAGAAATATTTGTACTTCATAACACAATGCAGCTTGGGTATCAAACTCACGAGAAATAAAATGACACCTAAATGAGAGGCCCACTCGAGACAATTTAATTCTAATATTTCATGGACCTTATTAATATTTGTGTTGCCCTGCAGTTGCAGTTCTTGTACAACTAGGTATGATAACTCTTTTTCATTTTTTGTTGTTCTGTAGGAGGCAACCATGATGACCACCTGCTACCCCAATTAAAAGAGATAGCACATACTGTCTCCAGAAGGAAACTTTCCACATTTTTAACAAGTGTATCAGTAACTAAGACAGAAGGGTAAGAGACCCATTCTTAAAAACAAAAGGTTCCATGTTGCAAGCTACTCTTTCATGCAGTCCTTTTCTTAATGTCCCTTGGGCCATCTTGATGCTGCAGGTAGGAGTTGGCATTATCAAGGGTGGGGTGGGGTTTGGATAATATGCACATGGCTTTCATGATTTGATAGACTGCATCATCAGATGTAGTTCATCAAATCATGAAAATAATTTGTCTATCTCGACCCCTTCAACTTTGATAATGCCCTTTGATGCACTGCAACATCAGATGTGCTGGTTGGACAGCTCAGTGGGTTAGGTAT